CACTAATAACAGACCACAAGGTAATCGGCGGTACCCTGGGTAGGAAAGTTATATTGATGCATGATCTAACTTCTCTGCCTAGTCTCCTTTGTTGTGGTAGTGATCCAGTTAACCAACAGCTTAACATACCTCGTTTACTTGTTTGTGTGGTGGACGTTTGTTGGCACGGAACAAACTTTATTATAACCATGTATTATATGTGAAAGTAACTATTTATACACGAATTTCTCAACGTATCTGTTTGTATAGTACAGTGTATATTGTGTAGTTTCTCCAGGTAGAGTTGTAGCAGTGAGCCCTTTGTTTGTTATAGTTTTTAAGACATTTCGTCTAATTCAGGACAAGGTAAGAGTGGACGACTAGGTTGTACGTGTCTTACGCAGTTAATATTCCAAAGTGAGCAGCTGAGGAACTGTCACTTGCTAGTAGCTTCCATACATTCACACCCGCTGTAGTGGGTGGCGAGGTTCATCACACAATAACGTAGAGGAACATGCTGTATTGTCCTCGGTCAGACCTTGGAAAGGGGATGGCCTCCAGTAAGGCTATGAAGGATATATTAGGTTACTTTTCCTTTTACCTGGACTCATATGATGACACTGACCTTCTGTTTACCATGTTTGTTGCAGTGTCCAGTTGGCAGTTTGTACCCTGAGGGCATGACAAACACTTCTATTAGGACACCATTATCTGCCTGGAGGCGCCTAGTGTTGTGAAAACCATTCCTGTCCCAGAACACGCTGAAGAGGTAGGTTTCTAGACATTCTTGATTTATCTCGCGAGTGGGTATGAAAATTTTTCTTAATTCTTCTCCAAGCAGTAATGATGAGTGGATGTTTAGTAGTGCTTGAAGTCCAGTTGATCCCCACGTGGTGCTTGAAGTTCAGTTGATCCCCACGGGGTGCTTGAAGTTCAGTTGATCCCCACGGGGTGCCTGAAGTTCAGTTCAGTTCAGTTTAGGTTAGGTTCACTTCACCTAACCCCGGGGGGGGGGACAAATAAACTTAAGTAGGGATCACCTGAACTTTAGTTTTACCTTATCTTACCAGGGTTAGTAAAAGTTTAAGATAGGTTATTCACATAAGTCACAATGATGCCTCAATCGAGGGGAGATATGAAACTACTTAAACCAAAATATCCACGTTAAAAAAGATATTGGGAAGTAATAATGATAATAACGAATAATAATATTACTAATCAGTAATAATAATAAGGAAGTAATAAATTTCAATAGGTAGCATCAAAGACCGTTCTCTGGCACGGAAGGGGGGGGGGGCTAGGCCAGTTTACACCCGGGGAATAAAGTGGCGATTGGGTATAATTTGGCCCGTTACAACGGTACAATATGATATCTGCCATATCTTCCATTTCACGATCATTACTAAAGCGTTTGTATTTATAATTTTATTTTCGTTAATTTCAGGAGAACCATTCTATTTGGTCCGTATACTGATATAATTTTTTATTCATTATGCACCCCCCCCACACACACAGGCACTTACAAACATGAACAGACAGGCAGGCACAGAGATACAAGTAGGAACAGAGGGAAAAGCAGGAACAAAGCAATATGTTCACAGACAGGAATGGACAGAAAGGCTGAAAATAACATAAATGCAGGAAGGAAGGCAATGCCATACAGGCAGGCTATAAAGCATGCAGAGAAACGACACAGGTTATGGTTGATGCTTGGATGTGGTTAAATGCATATGTGTACGTGTTTCTGTATCCTGCATATCCACCTGCTTGGCTGTGCCCGTTTTTATCTGCTTGTGGCCTTGACTATTTGTATGTCCTTGCCCTGTCTACTTGGCGATGTGCCTGTGCTGGACTGTCTTCTTAATAATAATAATAATAATAATTAACGGTTTATTGAAAGAGCATGGCAGCCGGAAGGCTGAAAATATACAGTTACATAATTTGGGAATGGGTCTCTTTATTTACAAATAATATACAAGTAACATAAGTGATACAAATATGATATATAATAACTAGGTGGGGAGAAGCTCAAACTACAGGGCATTTCAACATAGTGACAGTGCAAAAAGTAAGATTGACTGGGAGTGAATACACTGGTTGATTACAAGTTATTGATAATTTTTACAATGGTTGGGACTGGGCTGTTCTTATAGCAATCAGTCCGTGCTCGTATGGGCTGGATGCGGTTGTGGTGTCGAACAGCAATTCTCGGGCGAGGGCTCTCGGATGGTAGTAGGAACCGGTGTCGAGGATGGTGCAGAAGCTTCTCACCAAATTTGCAGATGAGGTTGTGGTGATGGTTAGTGAGAGCCGAGAGGGTCAGTGTGTTGAGCGCGCCTTGATATGTAGAGTAGGAAGGGGAGAGAACAATCTTGCATGCCCTCTTTTGCACTTTTTCTAGGTGTTTACGTTGTGTGGCATTTAGGGAGGAAGGCCAGGTAGAGGAGGCATCGGTGAGCTTGGGAAGTATGAATATTGAGTAAACACTGAGGAGCTCGGGGGCAGGATCCCCGAGGGACTTCAGTCGGCGGAGGAGGTGGAGACGGAAACTGGAGGATTTGACAACTTCACTGACGTGTGGTTTCCAATTTAGTTTGTTGTCTATGGTGATGCCGAGGAGCTTGGTTGGGGCTGCCTGCTTAGCTGTGGCTATGTGCCTGTGCTGGGCTGGGCTGCCTGCTTGGCTGTGTGTCTGTACAGGGCTGCCTGCTTGGCTGTGTGCCTGTACAGGGCTGCCTGTTTGGCTGTGTGCCTGTGCAGGGCTGCCTGCTTGGCTGTAACTGTGTGCCTGTGCTGTACTGCCTGCTTGGCTGTAGCTGTGTGCCAGTGCTGTACTGCCTGCTTGGCTGTGACTATGTGCTTGTGCTGGATTGCCTGCTTGGCTGTGAGCCTGTGCTGTACTGCCTGCTTGGCTGTGGGCCTGTACTCTTACTGCTTGCTTAGTTGTGGCTGTGTGCTTGTGATGGACTGCCTGCTTATCTGTGGCTGTGTTCCTGTGCTGGACTGCGTGCTTGTCTGTGGCTGTGTGCCGGAGGTGGACTGCCTGCTTGGCTATGTGCCTGTGCTGGACTGCCTGCTTCGCTGTGTGCCTGTGTTTACATGCCTACCTGGCTGTGACTGTGCTGTACTATCCGTTTGGCCATGGCGCTGTGCTTGTTCTAGACTGCTTGCTTGGCTGTGTGCCTGTGCTGATAACCACAAGGAAAAAGAAAACACGAAGTTTCCAAGCGCTTTCGTGTAATTCACATCTTAGGGGTGAGTACAGACTAAGGAGAAGTACATAAGGTATATATATATATATATATATATATATATATATATATATATATATATATATATATATATATATATATATATATATATATATATATATATATGTATATATATATATATATATATATACATACATACAGAGCCCTTGTTTATTTTCCAATTCACTACCAAGACCATTCACCTATGCTCTCAGGGGACAAACTGGCCAAGTTGTATTCAGGATCAGCGAACAACTACAAAACTGCCTGATGATCTGCAGTCTTCATTTGTTTAATTATTAAAGTAAAATTTAGGTAATGCAACGGGTGTTGGTCAAACCAAACACCAATTGGGGGGTCAACTGGTGTCCAAAGCATCCTATTCAGCCATTAAAGACCATCATAGCCAGGCATGCGATCACCTTATTATATGTCAGACTTCTCATAATTTTACCACTTGCCTTGACTACATAACAGGTCATGGCGGAGTCGCTCCTCACTTAAAAGGGTCCAGCCAGTGCTGGGCAGTGGGGTGCTGGTGGTAGAGTGGTACCGCTCTTGCCTTCGCAAGCGAGATGTCACCGGTTCGATTCCCGGGCCGGTGGAAGTTATTTGGACATACTTCCTAGCCCCCATTAGTCCCTCTTCACCTAGCAGTAAAGTAGGTACCTGGTGTAAATCGAAAGTTGCGAATTCGAATTCAGGGACAAGTTGTTGGAGCTTCCAATAACTTGATGACATAAACCATTGACTCTTCAGGCTTCTATGCCTTTGACTCTTCAGGCTTCTACGCTCCTAACTCATGAGACATAAAGGCAAGCATGAACTTAGCACGCTTCCCTGTTGGGCACTGTAAACGCTTCTGCGCTTCACCTTGCACAAGGCTGTCAGGGAGTGCCCAATAAATAAAAAAAAAAAAAGTGCTGGGCACTTGCTAGTATGCAATGTACTTGCTTATCTTTTCACATTTAACTTTAAATTTAGGTTCCAGTGTTCTGAATTTTTAGCAATTAATATTTCATTTTGCATTTTTGTTGTCTTCGGGGGCTGACAGTAATTCCAATGCTGTTTAATTTTGTCACACATTATTGAGTTTTTATTGTTAATGTATTTTATTTCACGAGTTCTAAGTGATGATGATATATTGTCGAAATTCTACCAAATATATGTTGTTGTTTATCCATATGTTGGTTCTGTTATATGTACACGTGTGTGTGTGTACTGTAGGCAGCTATCAAACAGGGAGGTACTACCGCCTGGGAAGCATAGTGTGTTTGTCTAATGGTAGACCCTGCTGCCATATGGCATCACAAAAATTGTGACCAAGTCCCAGGTTGCTGATCTGACTTATTTTACACTTAATTAGGGTTTCAATTGTGTATCATCTAACTTTGACAATATATATATATATATATATATATATATATATATATATATATATATATATATATATATATATATATATATATATATATATATATATATATATATATATTACTAAATTTGTTGAGGCTTTTTGATTGATATTCATTTGTCTTTTTTACCGTTTGAATGGCTTATTTTTGTGGTTTCATTTTTATTAAGTGTTTAAATGTACATTTTTATTAAATGTACAATGACTTGCTCCATGTATTTTACATTGGTAGCTAGTACATTATCCTTTTCCTTTAAATTCCAACAATGTTGCATTTTCAATTCCTTCTTTTGTTTGTATCTATTTGGTACCTACTTTGGTACATACATGTAGTGGGAAAAGTGTAAATTAAAGAGTTTTTATTTATTTGCACATTTATTTTAAGACTCAAAATTTGAACTCCCAAATATTACAAAAATGTACATAGAAGCACACGGTGGAACTATTTGTTATGACAAACTTATGTTCATAAGATTACAATAAGAACTATCATGATGTAATGGCAATAATAATATTGACAATAATAATAATAATGACATAACAAACAGTTCGCCAGACACTGGGCTAAATAATAATAATGACATCGAGATCTAGCCATGAGTAATGAAAGATGAGTGATGACGATGACTCTGGTCCTCGGTGGTGAGACTGCATGAGGCGATGAATACTGAACTAGGTACATCACTAGGCTCTCGCCCGGGCGGAAGGCTTTACATCCTCGCCACCCTCACAAGCTGTGCGGGGCGGGCCGCCAGTATGAGGGCCACCTGGGGTGGCCCGGGTTTCGGGCGGGTTTAGACTGGTGCCCACCCCCTGTACATGACTGCTGGTGCGGGCGGGTCGGGAGCAGGCGGCTACGAACCTGACACCATCACCGGTGCTGCGCCTTACGCGCGACCCCGCGTCGCTACGTGCTCCAGGACCCTCCCGCACTCTGCGGCAGCTGCGTCCTCCTCCCACAAATAAACAAAAAAATTGTCTCCGTCTCATCCCTTTCTCCCCTTCTGCCGCCGCCGCTGCTGCTCGCGCTGTCCTTCATCTGTCCGCCTGAGAATGAGAATATCGGGGCCACACAGTGGCTTTGTACTCGGGTAAGCGCTGCCCAACCATGCATTACGCTTCCAAGATAAATTCCTGGGGGGTTGGTGGCGGCGTCTTTTTGGAAAGGTTGAGCGGTTGAGAGTCGGCAATGTCGACTTGAAGTTCGACCACAGGAGACGAAGACGTCCTTTGCGGAGGTTGAGCGCCCAGGCCCGAATGATGCGCACCCATACCTTGAGACGGTGATGGGGCTGATACACCAGGGGATGTGGAAGGCTGCGCCCCGAGTCCAACTGGTGTCGCTGACATCCTTGGCTCGTAATAACGCGAAGGTGTGGGTGTGGTGAGGAGATGCACTCGTGGCTGAGCTGTTACGGTGGGCTGCATAGGACTGAGGCTGCCACTGCTGCTGCTGTTACAGCTCCGTGAAGATGGGCATGGCCAAGATGATACTGGAGGCTGAAGGCGGTCCATTGCGTTTTGTGGTACATAATATGGAGCGGGAGAAACTCTGGCAGAAGAAGGCAACCTTTCCCTGACTTCAGTACGCATTATCATGGAGTGCAGGATATCAGCACGGCGCATCGCATCTTCAGAAATCTTAGAACCCTCTAGAAGGGTTCGTGCCAGGGTAGAGTGCGAGGCAGCAAGGCTCGGGCCACACAAAGTAGACGCCAAGGTTGACGCTAGAGTGGAGTGTGAGGCAGCCAGGGAGGAAGAGTGCTGTGGTGGCTGAGCAAGTGTCTGAGCCAGGAGGGAAGGTGTGGGCTGGGACGAGTGGGGTTCTTCTTCACGACGGAGTGCACGGAACTTCTTGTGGGGCTTATAGGCTTCCTCCATAAGCAGGTCTGTGTTGATGATGGGTGGGGCTTGTAGAGCACGGCGCAAAACGGACATCTCTTCCTCACGATCCTCCTCACTCTTCTCGTCGATTGATGACCGTGGGGACGAGCACACTGATGGCGAGGAGAGTTTGTCACTGCGATCGGTTCCGCTCTCAATACCAGAGTCATCTGGGCTATCAGATTTTCTCTTGCTGAATGGACACTTTAATGGGGACTCGGTGGCTTCGTCGCCAGACGATGCACCCTCTGAATTATCATGACGCCGACGAACAAGAGGGAAGGGTGGGCGCAGCTCTGTGTATCCGGACACTTCGCTGCCACATATACTCTCTCCTGAGCTGGCAGATTCCCCAGAGTAAATGGACTCGGAGCATGATACTGGAGAGCGCATGGCCTCGTCAGCAGCGCAAGAGGACGACGGAGAGCCCACACTGCTCTCGTGTTCCATGCTCCATGAGGACCGAGTGTCGTCCCAATGGCCAGCACCGGTTGCAGTGTGCTCTGTCATCTTGTACTTGAGCAGCTTCTCAGAGTGAAGTGTGTTGAGTGTGCGTAAATCAGGAATTTTTGAGAGAAGTTCTCGGTGCAGGCTGGGGTTTTCTGGGTGGTGTTTAGACACCACGGCCTGCAAGCAGTTGATAAGGCGCCTCTGGACGCGTTCCACCAACTCGGCGTTACGCAACCCAGGGCGGTCAGGTGCTAACACAACCACGGCACAGAAGAGTGCAAGTTCAGCATCACTTAAACAGAGACTGTTGACGCGCTCAGCGAAGTCAAACATGGAGTCCATGAGGAAACGAGCGTTGACTGATGTATGGAGAGCCTCACGACGCAGCAGCTGACCATTGAGGCACAACATGGTGTTGGTACGAGCGTCGAACATGGCCGCCAAACGCACGAGAAGTACCTCGAATACTCCCGCTTTCAACAGCGTAACCTGATCCTCCTGTGGCAGTTGCTGGAACCCAGGCAAACGCTTGGCAAACTCCACGACGCCACGGATGGCGGGGGAGAAGCGCTCGCTGAAGTCTTGGACGAGCTCCTGCTGGCCGTGGAGGGGCACTGGCCGGGGATTCAGTGGGCAAGCCTGAGGAAGAAGGAAAATCATAGGTTAATACAACGCAAACACACTCTCCGTGGAAACATTTAACAATATTACATAACTGAGCATGGACCATCCATCCCCACCCACTTTCTTTATCCTCTTGTATTCTTCCTTACTCATTCACACTCTTTTACTCATGTGCAAACTAAGGGACATCGCACTATTTTACTTGTGTACCTATATTTTCTATCATGGCTGCAACGGTATACCGGATTCCTCCCCTCCTTCCAACATAGAGTATCCCCATGGGGCTGGCTGGCTGCTGCAGAGCTCAAGGCCACGCTGCTGGGTAGGGGAGCAACATGCGGATCGATGAGTTAAATTTAAAATCTGACACACCATTGCAACGTAGCTCCACTCCTTCATTGTGTCGTGTCAAACACCAATACGTGGGCCGATACACGAGTTTACAGACATACCAGTCCCGATCCTCAGTGTAACACGGAATTTGTGTAAGCATTGTAGGAAATATCAACCAACTTAACATACCCGTGTACACCCTTCCCACTGTTGCGTCACAGATCAAGTCTGGTCACAAGGGACGCTTGGTGTTTGCGGATGTCCTTCAAATACCCCCTGATAACCCAGTGTTTACGTCCGTCCTTCAAACAACCTCCGATAACCCTCGAGGGGGTAGGGGGGGGGAGAGCTCCAGCCGCCTCACCTGGGGGGTGGGGGAAGAGTCCCCTGATAGCCTGTCACCTCATTGGTTATCTGTACAAATTCACCCTAATAATGACATATTAAAAACGAAACGTTGCTGATTTTACATAGACCCTTGATATCCCCTCCTCAGGACTCCGCCCTCGCCAACAATGTACCCTGAGGATCCAGACGGCGCCTGGTTGAACCTTTTCGGGGGATCTTTGTCTCGCCTGTGGCAACATCCTAGTGCAGTGACAGTGGTCTCCCCCATCAACCAACACTATATCTTGCCAGGCAAGAAGCCACAAACTCCCGGTTAAGTATATCGTTCTCTCATTAAAGAGAGATGACTGGAATACATAAAAAAATGTGAGGAATTTCCATGTGAATCATCTTCAGTAGCTGTGCCCTTGAACAGGTAGTAGCCACGTGTATCTTGTACGTTCTGCATTGATCCTTCGAGGGGTACTTTAATTACTTCAACTAGTTAAACAGATACAATTTTAACATTTATGGGCTGGATACACGAGTAATTCCTGTGTTGGCTTTCTCTCCTCCAGCCATTCACAGCCCCCTGGCTAGGAAACCCAGACACCCTTGTCGTCTACCAACCATCCCACGCTGTGGAAGGAGGGAGGGAGGGAGGAGGAAGGACAGAGGAAATTGCTGCCGGTCTGACATCTGGGGTGTTTAGGATACTACCTCGAACAAATGTAGGGAGGGACAATTATTTTCCCCAGAAACTCTGTTACAGTATCATTATTATTACAGCTTAGGGAATTTCACCCCCCCCCCTCAAAAAAATAAAATAAATAGACAATCAATTCGTCCAGCAATAATGCTCTTTTGATATATCGAACGTTCACATTATTGTTTTCAGTCAACAAGCTCATAATAAGAAGTATTTCCGCCACGTGCTAGGAATTTGCATGGAGATTAGCGCGTTGTATGACTGGCTGGCAAAGTAACCCTGTGTTTGGCGGGTAAATTTGGCGCGCTTCGTGACCTTGACAGAGCGCGGGCCCCCACCAAGGCCGCTGTTGAAATCAAATACTGTACTCCCCTGTGTTGTATTTAAAATAGCCGATACTTGAAACTAATTTAACATTGTACAAATTTTACGACTGGGCCATAAGCATATTTAACAAGTAATTCATAAGGAGGAGCATGTTCTTGTACAGCCTGAGAAGATCTAGTTTGACAAGGTTTAGATAACCCAAGCCCCCAGCATCGACCACGCCATGAGCAATACGTTAGCTTCACTTTGTTCCGGCCTTCAACTGGCGGTCCTATTCAGTCTGTCCACAGTACACAACACCTGGGATCTCACCAAGGTGGGACCCAACTTCATCCTCCTCACCTTCAGCTTTGATGGACTTTACACGGAAAATACATCTGAGGTGTTTCCCTTATTACATTACACGAACTTGTATATGCTCTTAATAAAACGAAATGGACAAGAGTGTATATTGTAGCAAAGTCACCTTCGTATGAGGGCATAAATTCGGTGAACACGCGTCGGGTACAAAGGAGTAGCCCGAGCCATGATGGGCTTTGTGCAGCATGTGATACTGCAAGCATCCTGTCCGCAGCAGCCGCCCCAACAATTCCCCATTGTGTACTTTATATTTAATTCCGTTTTCTCTAACACCAAGAATATAAATAAAAAACACTGTATATAGGAAAATGCTTTTAAAGTAACAGGATAGCAATCAAAGTATGTAAACCGCATTTGCAAATCTGAAGGAGACGCCACACCCAGAGACAAACTGCAGTGTCCAGTCAACGGATTTAAGGGAAAACGCGGAAGATATAGTACCTGTACTGATCCTTTTTGGTAAGCGGGACGGAGACATTTGTATACTCCAGGTAAAGTGTATAACCAAGAATATACAATAAGGTGGGCAGGAGTGAGGTGCCTGGGGCGAAGCAGTGCCCCAAGTGACGCTGCCAAGGGCGTCCAAGTGACCACCACCTCCAGCTGACCTTGAACCTGTGTCGCTGCGTCGCCTTTGTCTCCCTGTTATTACCCTTTTCCTATCCTCTTCCCTCTCTCTCTACTCTTTCACTTTCTTTCCCTATGTTCAATACAAAATCGTCCTTGTCTTTCCTGCTTATATTTACCGAGGTGTTATGTATGTTGTGGGTGCCCATACTAAGCGACACTATACGAGCAAATGAATGGTGAGGGAGCGCTAGCCCCAGCCACCACCAGTGAGGCGCCACTGTCTATGCAACCTTGGGCGTTTCCGACGCGCATTTGTGAATTCGAAACTTTTCTTTCACAGTTTACTCTTAATTAAGGTTTTCCAATTACGTAGCATTTATCGTGAAGACCTTCAACATTACATCCTTAAAAAAAAATGGGATATCAATATACTGCTCTAATTAATAACTTGCGGTGAATGAAGGAAGAACGACGTGGGCAGAGAGCGTTGTGGGCTGGTAACGGCGGGGGAAGAGGGATAAGGGGGGCATCAGGTGGGGTTTAGGGGGGGCTCAAGTACGCCCTCTACGCGACCCAGTCCAAGGTTACAAGTGACGTCACACTAAGCCAGGGAGCCACGCGCTCGCGTGCACGCACCCTTCCACACAAAACAAATACTTATAAATACAAGAGTAACATGCATAACCGTCTGCCCTTGTATATCACGATTCATGTGTCCCTTGGTATTTCCGGTCGATGGAAACTAATCCCATTAATTACTCCTATTCTAACTCTGAATCAAGTTTTTTCTCATTAATAAATTCTTTAGGCAAAATAATAAACAGAATACTAGTGTTAGCAAAATATCGACGCGAAAAGAAGCCAGTGACCGCGCGTCCCTGCCCCCTGCTGATGTGGCCCCTCTGGTGACGTCACTCCAGTAAATCCAATAGCGGGTGACAAGGCGGTCAATATATACATCTCACGTGGTCGGGAGCCAAGTCCGTCATTCAGCTGCCGGTGGGACCACTCATTGCTACGGTCAATCAACATGACACTGCTCACGTGATGCCTAACCCGATGCATAAATGATCTTTCACTCTCATAGAATCAGTTGGCGTCTCTTTTCACTATATTTCCTGCTACAAGTTAAGCAACTAAAATTTAGCATGTTTATGCAAGCAACACAGTTGACAAAAACATGAGAATGTGATGAATCAACTGGATGCTTGGATGACCTTTCTGGGAGGTTTACAGCGTGATTCCTGTGTAGGTTATGCAAGAGCTGTCCAAGGCGGAGGGGTATTACGTAAAGCAAAAAGGGGTGGGGGGGATTAATTTTTTTTTTTTTTTACTGCTACCCTTTAGCCCCGATTCCATCAAAGCATTGTATCTTATTTAATGATAATCTGACAGACGTTGTCTTTTAAATGTATTCCCAAGTCTGGTGAAAATCATATGTTTACTATTAAAAATAACTATGGTCAAACTATCTGTCAAACAGCACTGGACCGTGTGACCTTGGGTGACCGCTTGGCTCCGGCTCGCAATGAATTCGTCACCACTTTGGCCTGTCGAGTTACGGCGCCACCTTGGTGTTGCTTATTGAACTCAAACTTTATCGTTCACATGCTGGTTCTTGTCAATATTTCACGCTGTTCTTCCATCGGTAACACCAGAAGAATAGTACAATAATAATGTCCCAAAACGACATTACAAGGTTAAGATTTATATCCCAGGCGTAAAGCCACTAATAAGAGTGACGCAACGAACATGCCAGCACAAACAGTGCCCAGAGTCTTTGTCAGCTCGCCTGGTATCAGCGGTTATCAGCATGTGACAGCGGCTTCCTGAAGATAAGGGCGCGTGAACTTGAACTCGCCTGACCTTGACGGCCCCTGCACGGGAGCTGCTGGCCCACCAGTGCCGCCGCCTGGCAACCTCCCGCCCACCCGCTCCACTCTACTGTTATTTTATCTCAATCTTCTTAAAGCAAAAAAAAATAAAAAATGTAGAAAAATGAGCATAGGGTCGTGTGTGGAAACAAGTCTCAGTACTTAAAATGTTTAAAAACTGGTAGTGTATCTTCCAGAGCCCCAGATTACTCTCTCACACACTTAGCTAGTATTCTCACTCGTAGTTTTGTTCTGATACCCTTACCTTTCGTACTTGTGTCCTATGGCATGGACATGCAAATAACTTTATCCCACAATTACATCACATATACATAACACATGTACTTACTCCCAAGATAGAGCTTCCTAATGCACACTAAAAGCTGTCACCTAACTATCCCCAGTTAACTCCCCCCCCCCACCAAGAAGGAAAGGTGACTCACCAGTGTGGGCGGGCACTGAGTGTAGCTTGGGTTGGTACGGGCTTGCTGCAGCATGGGCGCCACCTTGTCCCTGGTGAAGCCACAAGTATCCATGTGGGCGCGGATGATGGCTGCTGTAACGCGGGTGTCATCCTCCAGCTCTGCCAGCACCAACTTCTCCTGAGACCGGGCGTTAACGCTCTGCATGGCCGCTAGGATCTTGGCCTTCTCACGCTTAGGCACACGCCCGAAGCGCACAGCTGCAAATAAAACAAAATACTTAGTATTTTTTTCACCACAAAATTCACTATAAATTACTATTGCAAGTAATTATCGTAAAAAATAGCAATCAATATATAAATAAATAAATACTAGTTATCGAGCAACACCAATTATAGCTATAACAATCATAATACGATAACCTACAATTTCTGGTCTTTTTTTATAAAGGCATCTGCCACCTAACCTTACACAGGTGTGAAATGAAGCCTTACAACAAGTAGGTTGTGACACCACCCAACACGAATTTACAAAAAAAAAATTTAAAACTTTTTTAAAAATTTTAAATGGATGTTACTGCGTAAAAAAAGTATCACAGTATAATAAATTGGTGCGGGGTGAACTGCCTCCCCACCCCTTCCTCCCCTCACTCTACAGTCGGGCGACGACCCGCGGCACATGCCTCCACCACACGTGGCTCTCACCCTCTCCACTCCCGCAACCTACTTATTTTAAATTATCTAAATATTATTATATATACAATCCTAGGTATACAATAACTTCCTGTTTCATGAACATTACAGTACGAAACATTCGGAGAATATCTCGGCTGGTTAGCACCAGCCACAAGTCATGTAAACTAATGGTAAGTCCTAGACCAATAAACAAGTTATTGATGTTGTGCAGTTAAACACCTGGCTTATTGATCCTATTTACCACTCCCAACCGCATCCCAAGTTAGTGGCGTAGCCGTCCACGCCATCATTCTCCTATTCCTCCTCCTCTTGGATGCAAGTCGAATAGTTATGGATAATTAATCTAAATAAACTTCACAACTCTTCCCTCCTAATACATTAATGCTCCCCATCATCTGCAAAGTACTACACCTAAACTTACTCATATATTCAGGCGTCACTCCATGTTGTAGTAATCCTTTAAGTATAGGTAAATCCTCTTCCGGCATTTTCATTTGTGTTGTTGTATACTTAACACGGGTATAAATCCACTGGGGTCAAGCACCACCAATTCGTGTGAACTCTTGCTGTCACAATATCACACTGGAATCAGTAAAGTATCACTCGCTTGATCACTGTTAAGTATATAGACGCACTTCTAGGCACAGGAACTCCAATAAACAGTTGGCAATCTCAGAAATAGTAAGCACTGATCAGGTATGTATATCCAAGTAGTATGCGGTGTATGTGTATGAGAGGTGGAGCAACAACAGCTGTCTCCTCCTACTCCAAGCTCGTTCAGTGAGCGACTGAGCCAGCATGTGAGTACGAGGCGGGTTGGCTGGGTCGCTCCCACTGGTCCCGCCAGCCAGCCCACCTCCGCCGCCGCCACCAACCCCCGCGCACACGACTTTCACCCGCTCCCCACCACCCCAGCCACGCTCACTCTTACTTAAACCACCACTCGCTTTCATTGTCATTATCGACGACATGACATATTAGTCACATGGAAGACTTTCTACAAGTGTTAGAATTTATTGGTGTACCAAAATATTAAGAAAAATTGGCGCTCTAATATTAGAAAAGCTCATGATGTTTGGAGCGCATTTTTGCATAGCCTTGAGACCATAGGGTCGAAACTCCAAGGGGGTAGATGTGCCGCACGCGTCTGCCTTGGTTGTGGCCTTATCGGTGGTCACCTTCAAACCTACGCCGTCCTCCCAACGCCAACACCGGAAATGGGAAGTGAGTGGATGCAGGTAGCGGCCGTACTTCCGTGTGGCTGCATCCCATACCCAACGGAGTCATCCATAATGACCAACTTAAATAACTATAGATAACTTACACGTGAATCGTGAGGTCGAGTGCTAAAATGAGTCACCTTGATTATTTTTTGTCATTTTTTATTCGTCTTCAAAATACTGGAGTATTGTTTTTTATGCGCCAGTTTTACCTAAAGGTTACGGTTAAAACTTTTAAGATAGTACAAGTAGATGTACCCAGCTGCTCTCCGTGATAATAGCTCTTATCGTCACCAACGAACCCAGAGTCCTCTGGTCGTCCCCCCGCTCCAATCCCCCAACTCCCCTCGCCCTAAAACATGGCTGGCGCGATCGTTAAGGGGTCTATGAACCCGGGGAGCGAGGGGTCGTCGGCTGAGGGGAAACAGCCCGACCCAGACATACGCTCTCTGCCAGACCTCTACGCCATCCACACAAGGGAGCACCGAAAGACAATGACGTTAAATGCCCTTCTGGCAAAGCGTTCCACGTCATCGAAGAAAAACTTTGATTTCGTCCTAATATTAGCGAACAGTAATAGTTCAGAAAAGTTTCAATGAATCAGCTTTCTTATCTCAATTTTCTTCCAATGACTTGATCTTTCTAGAACTTATCTCCCCATGGTTTCCTACCCTTCTGTTGCATTTACCCTTTCTATGCCTTCCAGACAAAGCTTATTGACCGTGACTGGGCTTGACGTGGCCACGTGGATCCCAGGTCACGTGTTTTCACACACTGTCTGACATGGGATAAATGTATCATTTTTTTTCAGGAATACCGTTTTCTTTCTAACGTCAATCCCTCACAATACTCGCTTATTATGGAATATGTCTTGGTTTCCAGCTCAGTTTATAATCACAATATTCCATTATCGTAGCGGCGATAAAAATAAATTACACAACTAGAAGGTGGATGCGATATGAAGATGTGTGAAGAGATGGCAGAGTTGTGAGGAAGATAAATGAGAAATGGGCGGGGTTGTGAGGTGGGTGAGCGTAAGTAAAGCACGAGGGTAGTGTGCGCTCTGGTCGGGGGTTCAGGCAGGAAGCACTCATATCACCATCACCTCCCTCCCTCCCTCCCGACCCTGGCATTTCCCGGTAGGCGCACCCAGTTATGACGCTCCCACACCCCTCACTACACCAGCTTAAACAAGGTCGTCTATATGATCAGAGGCGATCAAACTCACACCAAAGCGCAACCTATGAATCAAGTTGGTTTTTGACAAGTATTCCCATCCAAGGCTAAATTCGTTTAGTCCTGCCGAACTGTAATTTCCCCTATCTTGTTGTCAATGAGCAACATCTATTATTATAACTGGGCAAAAGGTGATGACAGGAAAAATATTTAACGTAAATAATAAACAGTAGATTCGTTCATAAATTATGAGTCTGGGTATGTGAGCGCACGTGTTAGTAACAAGACTACAGGTAGCCGTGGCCCGGTTGGAGAAACTCTACGGCACGAACACATACAGGTTGAAGTGTTTATATATATATATATATATATATATATATATATATATATATATATATATATATATATATATATATATATATATATATATATATATAGTATTACGTAACAAGTTATATAAGATATTTTTAGCGTTGGTTTAAATACGAACAGATATGATTTTAATTTTTAATAAGTGTAACCGATGAAAAAAGGAATCAACTTATTCTCACTAACTAAAATTCAATCTGCAATTACCTGACAATCACAGAAAACAAAATATTTAAACACGGTGTTGACCAAGAATACAACTTACCAATCTTATGTGTAATTCGCGAGGGATGCAGCACCATGGTCGTCGAGGTCTTTGGTAAACTCCTAGGCATTGAAGATCTCACCCAACCGGCAAACCCAGTGCGTTTTCACTGCCAAATGCCACTGCCCATTGTGGAAAGTGATGGTAGTGAATGCTCCACTTTCACTGTTACTTTTGTGTCAATTGTACTGATAAGCAAAGAACTAATTAGAAGCTACTGAAAGAATCAATTTCAAAACTTCTCATTCCACAACTGGTGTCCACAGTTGTTTCCACAATTGTAGATTTATAGGAGTGACGAGGTGTGAAGATGATTTCTTTCTCTCAAAAATTAAGAGTCGTCTACTCCCTTCTTTCACGATGTAACTGTTTCGAGACAACGAGACGTGGAGTGAGTAGGTAGACTAAGAGGAGGTGGGCAGGTAGACAGATAAGGGGGAGGACAGGTGGTGTCGCCGGGTCAATGTACCGTGGCGCCTGTCAGTACCGTTGGTCCCGCCCTCCAGCTATCCTCTTGCTCCTATATACACTGATCCCAGTAACTCCTCGCACGTTGAGACTGTCCTGGAGCGTTGACACAAAGACACTTTTGACTGACCAAATGCAAAACACAAGGTCAAGGATTGCGTAACTCGCCAACAGTGAACAGAACTGAGTTAATGATAGTGTACTTCTCTTGTTCACTTTAATTAAGATTATTTGTTATTGTGAGTGTAGCAACGTGAAGGCGGGATTCCGTGCGGTCACTGCGACAGAGGCGCTAGTACTGATGGCAGCCGCAGCTTCGTCAGGTCATCCACCCGTACGTTCACTTTCCTACCGTGTGACGTCACCGTCGTCAACTCACGCTACAAGTAGGTCAGAGCGGATCCCAACTCGGAGCGCAGTTGTAAGGGCTAAAGTTCTACTACATCGATCATCTCCCTCAACCTTAGTGTTCTTTTACACACACACAAACACACACACTCTTTTACTAGAAGAGTATTTTACATAAGACGATACAAGTAAGGTTTCTATCAATATCACGTGCAGGTACACGCCTGCGGGGTAAACAAAACAAGAACTTTTTGTGACGAGCGATGGAAAATGGCTTAGTAGCAGCAACAGTTGTGATGTTATTAGTAGTAGTGCTGTTATTGCTGGGGATGTTTAAACTAACCCTTTCATTTATCTCCAAACAATTACACTTGTTTTAATCTGAATGAAAACCTTATGTGACTGGACTACTGCCGTAACTACTACTAGTATGATTACTCTACCCTACAACCACTCCTTTACCGCTTTTACAACTACTCCACTTATCAACGTCATCGTCTTTTCCACAGGGTGGGCAGCGAGGGAGAACGAACACTTACGGTTATTGTAACGTATCTCTCGCAGCGTGGCCTCAGCCTCTCCGCCCATGTCGTGTTCATTACCGCCTGCCAGTCCAACCCCGCCCACCCCACCCACGCTGCTGGGGTTAGGGAGGGAGAGGGGAGGGGTAGGATTTGTAGCGGGATTCCGGTAGGTACAAGAAGTAGTCAAGTTTCCGGTGAGTAACTTAATAAATTTCCTCCTCGATTCTTAAGGTTCAACTACTAGAAACACAAATCAGTGCGAAATAACTTCAAAGGTGGAAGAATTGCCAAGGACTTTCAGTTACTCCAATCTACTTGCTCTATTTCGTTTTCATTTTACATCGTTAAATGCCCTAAATAAATCGGTATAGTAAAGTGTTCTAAAACGCTGGGGTGGTGTGTGAGGCGTAGGAGTCGAGTTTGAGAAGGGAGTGTGTGGGCGTGTGTTCATGCGTGCGGGGTGGCTTCGAGCATCTTCAGGTCAGGTGCGGCCACTGACTTACTGTTCACACTAAGCTATCGTTCAATCCCGCTCATCTTGCTCGTGTTTCTTTGGTTATTCATTGCATATACCCTAGCCTCCCTGCCAGCCCCACATCGTCTGTCAGCACCAGATAAAAGTAGGGGGAGGCAAACAGACAAGTTGTTGCGATGATGTCATAAAGCGGAGCGTGGATGTGGAGCGTGCACCCGTTACTCCAGCCCAGCCTCCCAGTCCTGCCTGCCCTCCTCCCTCACCCTCGCCTGATCTCATACCTGCCTGCTTGCTTGACATCTTGCAAGACGCGCCTGCTAAGTCCCACGAGAACGGCTATCAAACATGTTTCCCACGCACTAAGAGAATCAACAGTGACTAAGTAAATTCCAGTAAAATGGACTTTATTTACGGTCCAAAAATTAATTATGGAACTACTGTTGCGCGGCAAGAATTACAGAACTGAGAATTACAGAGAACTGAGTGTACGCGTGGAGTGCACACACCCTCCAAAGATAACGCATTCCACATTTATTGTTATATATTTTTGTCTGCTGACAAGTGACAGCATATCATTTATCGCTGTGTATAATACAGTAGATGAGAGGTGCAGGATGAGGGGGCGGGTCATTCACCCCCGCCCCTACCACCACTTGCCCTGTTATTTGGGTTAACCCTGGCACTTGTCATTGGGTCGTCTCCAGTAAGCATGGCTATGTAGCACAACTTGCACACACATAGGGTAAATACGGCCACAAGGATGAATGTGAGTGATTCCCTGCCTGGTAACTTGGCAGGGTCAGGGGTGGCCTGAGCCAGCACTACACTTGGGGATGCCCCGCCTTGTGACGCTGACCGCACCTTATCAACATTATTTGGCCCATGTTCCAGCTCTCCACCACTTACGTTTCCCATAAAACGTGTCTCCCTTTATCCTTTATTATCTACAGAAATAGAGGTAAACGAATTTTAAAAAGAAAAGTCAGACGACTTCATGATCGTGGGGTCATGCTAGGTTGTACGGTCAGCAGGGTTCCAGGAAGATTAACGCCTCACCTCCGTTCCGGGAATGCTGCTCTCTTCTCTTCACAAGTGACTGCATTAACACACCGTGGAATATTCGTCTTTTAAAAGCACTAGTAATAACTTACCAGTAGGCAGTTCAGTGTGTAATACTCTTCTTGGGGCGGAGGGCAGGTGACGGAGGGCAGGTGACGGAGGGCAGGTGACAGGAGTAATAATAACAAGGGCGTCAACTGCGGGGTCATACGGACACTGGGCAGCGGGAGGTGTAGCCCACCCTCACCTCTATCCAAACTCCGCCCTCCAACACCTTGCCAACCAATGTCATGATAGGATGCATTAATTACGTATCAATATATAATTTATGGTGCCGCTTGTCGCTTGTGAGAGCACCAAAATGCAATGACCTGGGAGTAAGGGGGGGGGGGGCATGCTGGCGGGATGACCTCCGGCGCTGCCCTCACCTTTACCACCTAGTGATCATCTATCTATACCAATGACCTCCCGTGACCTGACTCTCCCGCCGGAGGTGACCCCACGCCGTTACGGCTCCAGCTCCAGTAAACAGACACTGACCCGTTACTCAGTTTACCCTGCCTTGTCGGTGTGGCTCCTACTCATTAGGCATGACCGACCGCAATAATAATCCCTAATCTGTCAAGACCATAACCTGGTCACGTTTTGTAGGCCATCTATTTTATACCCGGGTGTTTCTGTAATTTGTTGTACCGTGACTCTGTATTCTTGGTAAATTTTTTTGCGCGTGCCCATCAAAGTCGAGAAATAAGACTCAAAATGATCTACTATAGTGGCACACCTTCGAAGTCAAGGCCTTATTATCGTGCCCTCTGCCCTAGATCACACCCAAGCCTCCAGCCTTTCCCACCACCGTAACTTGGAGTAACGGACACTGCGCTGACCCAGAGAACGTGCAAAGGACAAAGCATCACAGTAGAAGGGCGAGCACACCGGGAGGGCATTAGTCGCCAGTACCCTACTGTTCGAGGATCAACAACTCCCATCACCTGCTCCTCATCTCCTTAATGTTACTTTGTTTACCTTACACTAGACCAGAAATTGTATTCGAATTATAATGGTAAAATAATCATGTTGCTCTGATTCCTGCTTTATGAATACAACAACAAACCACGATGTTGTTACATGCAAATTTTAGATGGTTCATTATACTCACATTGAAGGTAACATTAAACACGCACATTCTGACTTATTAACTAGATACACTAAAGAACGTTCTCTCAAAGGGAACAGAAAACAAAGCGATAATAGGAAAAGTCAAGGCCAACTAAATGAAGGAACAAAGGGCACAGGAGAGTGTGGTTAAATAAAAGACCAAGATAACAGAAAATGGGAAAACGATAGACTACAGGAAAATAATAGAAGTGCGAAGCAAAACACGAATTTAAGAAAGAGGCAAAGAAAACTACTCACCATCTCTGGACATGCCGACAGCAATGCACTTCTTAAGCCTGCAGTACTGGCATCGATTGCGGTTGATGCGGAGGATGGAGCACTGTTGGTTCTTGGTGCAGGGGCGATACTGGATCTTCTGCTGGATGCTGCGCCGGAAGAATCCCTAGAAAGACCAAATAATACTTGTTTTTAACTCTACTCCAAAAATCAAGAATTGCACGTTTAATAATAGCTGTCAATTATTTTTCCATAAACACTTTTCAAACTTACTGTCAATAAAACCTCACACTGATCAATACTAACACTGATTCTCTGAAGTTTTTATTTTCGATTGCGATTAAAGAGAGGAACAGCAAGGTTGTGTCGTCTCTGCCACTGACACAAGGAAACAGAGAGCATGCTGGAGCCATCCTCCAAATATAAAGGTAGCAACTCTAGCTTCCTCCTGGAAATACCTCTCCAGTGCGTGGCGGGTGTGGGCGGCCTGACCGTGAACTTGAGACTACGCACCAGGTTCTCGGTAGTGGCCAGTTTTCCCTGAATATCATGACGCACTCAGCCCGCTCTGGGGAACACACGACCCAAAACACAGTAACCGGAGAGGTAGCGAGATGGTTTATGAAGATAATAATGCTGAAGATGAAGTAAGAGAGATGAAACATGAAGATTGAAGTTCGCCCTCACACTCATCCTAACAATATCCCCCTTACCATCCTCTCCCCTACACGCACTGTGTACGTCACCTTCACTCCCCCCCACCTTCCCGCCACGGACTGTGCAGTAGCCTCACTCACAGAGGGTACCGTAAGAACACTACAATGACGGACCAGCCCAACACGCGTCGCCTCCTCTCGCCCTGATGACTCCCCCTCATTCAGGAAGTGGTACATACTTGGGTGATCATTCCTCTAACACACACACACACACACACACACGTATGTTCCCAGCGCATTGTACGATTAAGTCATTTGTTGCCGCTACCACTATGCAGCCCACCACATCGTTTAATATGTGATAAAAGCCTAGCTAGAGTAGGTGTTGCCACAAGGAATCAGTGAGCGAGAACCAAGCCAAGAGATATGGTCACCAGTTTCCGGCGGGCAGGTGAGCACATCACCGACCATGGTGGAGAAGTGCGAGATACCTGCCGTTATTAATACCATTTAAACTTACTAGGGATCAGTGTCCTCCCTTACACCCATCCCGACCCCGCCTCCTGTCTTCCTTGGCCCCGCCCCTTCAGCTTCCATCCCCGCGCGGGAGTCACCCACCTCATTAACGGAGGAACCTTGCCATGGACAGAACGGAACATCGATAGTATTTTCTTCACAAAATTTGCGAGTCATAGAAATGGGGAGTTACAAACGTGCGTGGTCAATCACCGGGTGGTGTGGTACCAGATCCGAGAATTGGATTTCTGCCTGGAGACCTGTGATTGGCCAGTCAGTGCTTGTAGGAGGTTAACAGGAAGAGATGAACTGTTAGCGATGTCGACACTCGTAGCGGGCAGACTAACCTGATTCCCTCCTTACTCCGGTGTTTCCTGGGTCAGTGTACTCATCCCCGCTCATTAACTCAGCATTCACTAAAGCCTCACAAGTTTGGGAAACCCTGAACTCTACCAAGCTCGCTTGGTTACCACACACCTCACACAATTATATCTCGCCTTGTAATCTACTCCCCTAAACTATATAATGTTATTGCGGTTCTTTACTTGTATGACTACTCGTGTTTAGCGTCAGTGACTGTTCCAAGTCGTATCATGTTGATCAAAATAAATGAATAACTCGTGGGAGTCTAACTGAGGCAACACAGCACTGGTATACGTTCCTACTGGAAACATGAAAAAACCGAGGTGTTATACAAGTAATGTTTCAGTATTAAATGTGAGTAAGGGTCTACACAAAAGGCGTGGGCTGTACGAGAGAGAACCACTACTAGGCATACTGCTAAATTCGCCAACTGGCAAAACCGGCTCTGCAAGTACGGGTTGGAAAAATAACTCGACGAAAGGGAAGGGAAAGTGGAATGCAAGAAAATAAATCTGCAATGCAAGGCTGATACTGATTTATTTAGAAGGTGTGACTTTCTTTTAATGTTACTACAATCGTAAAGCTGAAGGGAGTCAGTCACACATTTTCTTTAACGTAAAAGTGATTCACAACTCCCCCATCATTATCTAGTTATTTGGATATCGTTATGACATGTAAAGGTCCCTTCTACCATCCCCAAATCCTTTGTTCCCTAAGATTCAACCCATGACACGGCTCTAGACTCCAGTCGGACCCCTGTAGACGAGGATACTCCCAGTGCCAGGTGATTGATCGCCGGCCCGTTTGCCTCACATCTGTGGACGGGGTAAATGACCCGCTATTTTAAACCCTTTACTGGTAAAACACTCACCCAAGGACCACTTCCCCTTAAATAGGTATTCTGGCGATAATTTATTACGGTGCTGTGAGGTAAAGCTTTTTGTGAGAAGAGCCTGTATGCAACCAGGCCAGTTTTCCTACCGGCATTGCGGATCCTCCACATGACCTTCCTTCCCTATTACCCATAATACCACTAACCGGATATCTTGTAATTATGGCTGCCATTCCAGTGTTTGACTTTGGTACAAAAAAGTCCGTTAGTTGTGCAAGGAAGGTCTAAGGATAATACACCCTCGGCCAGACCTGATACAGTCAGGACCCACCACGCGGAGCCAGCCACTTCCCTCCAAGATGGAATTTCCACCTGGAGTTCACCCGTCCCTCCCCCAGCCAACACCTCTCGCCCCCACCCCCGTTGTGCAAGGACAACCACACCAAACAGAGTGCATAGGGAGAAATCTTGACCGTGGAGTTGAGTACATACAAAACATAGTTATGGTACAAGCAATCTACCCATCGATGATTACAACAATGATAAAAAAGACGCGACAACAAGACAACTGAAAGTGAGAATATAATGCATCCACTAAGACAGCAGCAACTGATCTATCGTGGCCTTGGAGATATTTTTTTCTCAAATTTCTATTACACTGTACATATAAATTTGTTATCTGCATCCCTCGAAACTATCAAGTACCTACAGTATGATAAAGACAGCACCATTTCCACGAATATCTACCTTAAAACTTCCCCTCCCCTTACTGGGCTGGCACTCTGACGGCCTGACCCACATATCGGTCACTCACCCTCTCTCTCCGCGTGGTTCCTCATCCTGCCGCCAGGGGCACCAACCGCGGGATACTACTACAATTTACACGATTTCTTTATCACTGGAATTGTTATTAATGTTATGAATAACTTAAATTTTATCCATATTTAGACCAAATAACTAATGATCCCAGAGACACATTAGTACACTATCTTGATAACTCATTCACCCCCCCACATTATGAGAGGGAAAGTGTGTTCCATGTGTGTACGTCTCGTGTTCCACGTTGTAGCTACCACACACCATCCACGTTCCTATATTTCGTTACAAAATGTATTGACATAGTCTAAAGTATAATTTGAAATTTAAGACTAGCACAAATTTAACTTAGTGGCCTCCGTAAGCGAGTCCTGTCACCTGAGCAGCATCTCATGTGTCAGTTGGAACGAAGCTAAGTCTGAAGAGTGGAGGGAAAATAATAATATTCTGTGACTTTCCAAACTATAAAACACACAACCCTTTAACCCAAATATCGTGGAATTCTAACTAAGTCACACCTCACCTGCGATCACTGACCTATCACCCCTATATGAACCTTATTACACTAGGTAACCCGATTACCCTCCATAATCCAGCTCAGAAAACCACCAAACCAATTCCTTAGATTTATCCCCAGTATCCCTACAACCCCAACCTCATGTCTGGCACCCCTACCATAATTCAGGGGTGGCATACGTCCTCATGTCAATGACCTGGCGGCACTGTCCCTGAAGCGGCTGGGGAGGGAGTGGGGTCGGTTCCCGCTCCACATGGCTGGGATACACAAAAATACTGACCCACTTTTCTGATAAACGACAAGAGGGAATTACTATTTACGGTCCCATGAAGGAGAGTACTATTATGCCAAAGGAAAACAAAAATATACTTATCTTTCTTCTTTTCAGACTCCTAACATTTACAGGTAATGAATGCCACACAAAGAAAGCTATAATACCACACAAAGAAAGCTTTCTCAGGCTGGTATTACTTTTACCGTAATCTAATAACAACAAAGATGAAATAAACAGCACCACTAAAGGAATCAGGTCTTGATATTGAATCGTCCACGCTAATATTTAACTCGTTCAGAACAAGCGTTTCTGACGAGAAAGTCGAGCAGTCCAGTTAAACTAGCTTCTCACACCAGCCTTTCACTACTCACCCCACGTCCACTTTCTATATATTCACACACTGGACGGTCCATCTAGCTTAGTAACTATATTAGAGCACCACGGCACCAAATTAGTACGGGCTTTCTACTACTTATCCATAGTACATCAAAATTTCACTAGAAGTTATCTTAGGTGTTATCATTCATAGACGCTCACAAAATATATATTAAATTCTAACAAAAAAATATTACTATCGGCAAGAAACAATAAAAAGCTCTCTCTCAAAACAAAGCATAAGTGAAACAGGTGAGTGGGGACGTGCAGGCCGTCTATAATACACAAGTGAGAGTCACTGAAATTGCACCAACTGCTTAAAGGCTCACATCACTCTTCCTCTTATTTACTTAAATTAAACTCAATAATTGTATTTATGTAACGCAAGACCTAAATACTTTCTTTAAGACATTCAAGTTACACAGATGGCAACAAATTTATCCGCTAAATTTATCGCCGGCAAATCAGGTGGGTGCTTGTCCCAGCATTGGGTGACCTAAATTGTAATTACTCATGGAAGGACAACAAGAACCTATTATCCTAAATACTATGCTAAGGTTACTACAGTTCATTCACCTCCAGCCAGGCGTGCCACCCTTCCCGGGACGGATCACGCACACCAGCTGATAGCCCCCACCCTCTCCAACAGAGCTGCCAACCGCTTCTGCAGCGCTGAAATCTTATGTTACTATTAACTATTTTCCTACAATTTGATTGCTTTTATTTTTTGGATCGTATTATACTTGAATGTTTTTCAATAACTGTATTAAAAACGACAGTAAACTATATGCTTGTATGTATTACCTTTGTTTCCGTG